GCATTTTTGACTCTCAAAAGAGCCCTCACATCTGTTCATGTTCTTGACTTTCAGATTTTTCCTCCCCATTTACAGTAGAGTGTGACGCATCCTCTGAGGGAGTGGGAGCAATTTTGCTGTAGGATGATCGCCCTATTGCTTATTTTAGCAAAGGGTTATCTTATTCCAGCAGCCTCAAATCTGCTTATGACAAAGAACTTTTGGCTTTTGTTCTAGCTTTACAAAAGTGGAAAGATTACTCGATGGGCAGCCACTTTTATGTTCATATAGATCATAGAAGTTTAAAATATCTCTTAGAGTAGTGCCTTTCCACCAATGAACAACTCTTACCTTTTGACTTTTCTATTGTCTATAAGGCAGGTAAAGACTATATTGGCACTGATTCACTCTCACATCACCCTCACCATGCTGACTTTTTGGCACTTGCAATTCTTATCCCACTCGATTTCTCCAATTGGGCCCAAGGATTACAAGATGATGCATATACCTGAGATTTACTTGTTGCCCTCCAAGCAGGTCTGACTTCCTATCCTAATTTTCATATGGTCGATTCTAAGCTTTTTTACAAAACTCGTGTGGTCATCCCAAATGATATGGCTTTGCGACAGAAACTTTTAGCTGAAGCTCATGACACTCCGACAACAGGCCACGGTGGGTATTTGACGACCTTTAAATGTCTCAATTCTACTTTTTACTGGCCAAAGCTCAAGCAAGATGTCAAAGCTTATGTGTAGAATTGTCTCGTTTATTAGAATTGTCTCATCTATTGTCGGGAGATTGTGCGTCTCCATGGCCTTTCACGTTCCATCATATCAGATCGAGATGTCATCTTCCTTATCACTTTTTGGCAGGAGCTCTTTCACCTAAGTCAGACTAAGCTTTAGGTTAGTACTGCTTACCACCCTCAAACAGATGGATAGACCGAGGTGGTGAATCGTTGTTTGGAAACTTATCTGAGGTGCTTCACCTTGGAGCAGCCCCGTTCATGAAGCAAATTCCTCTCTTAGGCAGCATATTCCTTTAACATGGAATTTAACACTTCAGCTGGCACCTCACCTTTTCAAATTGTTTATGAAAGAGAACCCCCTATGCTAACTCCTCTTGTACGTGGTGAAACTCACATAGTTGATTTGGAAGCACAACTCTTCGAACGTGATGTCATGCTTCAAATCCTCAAAGACAATTTGCAAAAAAGCCTAGACACGTATGAAACCAGCAGATGCTCATCATAGGGAGTTATCCTTTGAAGTAGGTGACTATGTCCTTTTGAAAATTCAGCCTTATCGCCAGCAATCCCTTGCTCGATGACGCTATGCCAAGCTGTCTCCTAAGTTCTTTGGACCTTATAAAATCATCAAACGAGTTGGTTCAATAGCGTATGAGCTTGAGCTCCCATCCAATGCTAAGGCTCATCCTATTTTTCATATTTCATTGCTTCGACCTGCACTTGGCCACCATATTCCAGCTACACCAGTACCGCTACCAGTAAATGATGATTGGGAATTGGAATTAACACTTGCAAAAGTCCTAGACCATCGCTGGTTTCATCGGTCAGGCACTTCAACTTTGGAGCTCCTCATTTAGTGGGAAAAACATCTAGTAAAAGAAGCAAGTTGCGAGGAGTGTGACCTCTTGGTTGACTGGTTCCCTCAATTTTGCCTTGAGGACAAGTCAAGTTTTCAACGGGGGGAGTACTGATACAAACCCTCCTTTGAAAACTTATTCAAGAAAGAAATTTAACTCCTCACGTGCTTTGTACATGGGTTTAGAGCATTTGGAAGAAATCAAAACTATTGGAGAAGATGAAATTAATCCGTGGCTGGAATTTCTCAAAGAATAGAAACTGCTTCACGTGCTTGGTTTTGTTGCTGCAGTTCACTTATCCACTTCCCCACTTTCCCAATTACTTAGGATTTGATTTGCTTTCTTGTCAGTATTTATATTTTATTTTCTTGTTCTTAATTTCATCATTATTGAAGTATTAATTAGAGTTGTAAAGAGTCTGGTCCTCTTCATACGGACTAAGCAAATGAAGCTTTCCCTTTTCTCAATAAATTTTCTTTCTTTTCTTTTTATTTTATGCTGCTGCTATCAGAGGAATAGCCTCAATAATTGATTTGGCCAAAGTCACACTGCCACAAGGGAGAGGTGCTTAGAACTCAAAAAAGATAGTCGATTGCTAATTCTATCCAAAATATATTGATAGGTATGCTTTGTGGCTCTATCGTGGAGCAATGGAACCCCTAAATACTTGCCAAGGTTGTTCGTTTCCTCGAATCCCAATGTGCCAATTAAGATCCTTCTATCTTCTCTAAAGACATTCTGGGAAAAGAAAATTGTGTCTTAGCACAATTCACCTTTTGGCCAGAACAGACATAAAAATCAACCAAAATGACTTGAAAAATGTGCCTACTCACTTGTAACTCCGAAAGCAAGATAAGGTCATCCGAAAAAAAAAAAAGATGGGAGAGGAACGGACGGTTTCTAGAAAGCTTGATGGGCTTCCATTTATTCTAATTTACCGCAAGAGATGGCATGCGACAGTCTCTCCATGCAAAGCACAACTGGAAGGATGGAAAGAATTCGACACAAAACCATTCCAAAGAAGCTTCATCGAGCTAGATGACACACAGCTCATTATCACATTCACAAAGGCAGGAGGAAGATTGAGATCACTAAGAGTATCATAGAGAAAATCCCAGCTGATTCTATAGGCTTTCTCCAAGTCAACTTTGATTTCCATATAACCCACCTTTCTAGTTTTCTACAATAAGATAGTTTACTAATTAGTAAAGAAGTTACAATATTAATGGAATGTAATACAATATCAAGGTTTCTAATTTAGTTAAAATACTAGGTTTATGGCCCCGCGCAATGCTACGGGGGATCCTTCTTGCAGTGAGTCAATTTATATAATAAATAGTTTTACACCATTTATAATAATTTATTCATTACATTTTTACATTAAATTTATAATATTTTATACCCTATATCTATATTTATATTATACTAAATTGTCAAGTAAACAATTTTATGACTATGCAAATAGGCATGAACATGACCTAGTAACATTTGTCTTCATATGAATGTCCATAAAACTTTGAATTGTGAGGGTACCCTTCTCTATCTCTATGGATCTGCTAAAAACTCATCCTAATCTGCAAAGCTCATCTTTGATATTATTATATCAATGATATGAAGTAACTATATATATTTTCATGCAGCAAAAATTTGTCATTCAAGTCAAACCAAGTTTAATAATAGAGAATAATTATATGTAAAAAAAAAAAAAAGAAGAAGCTCAAATTGAAAAATATCACAACCTACACTCTTGGCTTCCTATCTTGCCAATCATTTTATATATGTAATGAGAATTTTGAAACTTGAGCTTGCTAAATCCCAATTCTCCTAACTTTCAAATGGTCATCATTTGAGATAACTAAAAGAACATTCTTAAGATTTAGAGTGCACATTAATTAGATAAAAATAGGAAAAATGATTAAATTGTCAAGGATATATTTTGAACTACAATTGTTCTCCAAGAATATTGCAAATTTTGGTGCAAAATGCAATGCACCACTTAAAGCCTTAAATTACAGAATGACTTTGCTGCGAGTTACTTAAAAGGCATGATTATTTCTCAGCTGAATCTGGCGCAAAAGTGAACTCACCTTGATTTTAGGGGGCTGTGAATAATGGCATTTGGTTCATTGTGAAGATAAGTCATGCCTCTCGTCAAATATGATTTAAAAAATGCAAATAGCATAATAATCAAAATCACCAATGCTACATGAATCACTTAAAAAGATTAGTTCAATGATGAAGTTGAAAGAGTCGTATAGGCTGACAAACAAACACAAGACCCTAATGCATGAAGTTTAGAGCTAAAAAATAAGTTATAGTCTCAGTCAAAAAAAGAAGGGAAGATAAAAAAACATGCGGTCAAGATCTTCCATTATGTTGTATTTTTAGATTTTATTGCCTCTAGGAATAGAAGCCTCCCTGCTGATGTAATTCAAATTTAACCCAAAAGTGAATTAATGCATAATTTAGCTTAACATACCCCTATTACAATTTTGTCAATCCAATCCTGCTTTGCACAGCTCCTAAAGAAACTAAGAAACTAAACTGTAAGCATAAAAGATAGCTTAAGTGATCAAAATAGGGAAGAGAAGAACACCATGAAAGTAGATATAGTATGAAAAGAGGAATTAGATTATTTCTATCTCATATGTTAGAAACAAAAAAGGCAAAAGAAAAAGAGAAACACTAAAAATTATCAAATGTAATTTAATAGGTTTTGTACATATCCAAAGTTGCTCATAACAAAGTGTAGTAAAAGAAATATTGTGAAGGCAAGAATAACACAGATAAAATTTAAATAACCTATTCCTTCCACTTGGAATAAGTTAAGTCAAAAAACTCAATCAATTTTTCAAGAAACACATTAGAAAAAAAAACAAAAATCTATAGAAATAGAGAGTAATATTTTTCTCACCAATCTTTTAGTCTTTTCTTCTTTAAACCTTGGATGATTTTTCTAAAATAAGACAATGTAGGTGATTAGTTACCTGTTATGTTTACTCGAGTATCAACAAATAATGTAGGTTACACTTAGAAATTCATAAAATAGAAGCAATGAATCAAAGACCCATTACCATAAAATAACAAATAAAAATAAAAAATGAAAAAAAAAAAACAGAGAACAAACCATTAAAAAAGGATGAAGCTAATGTATTTCTACACAAAATGAACCAACAGAAATGAAGGTTGGACATAAATAAATAAAGATTTATTTACTATAAAAGCAATACACAAGAAAAATAAACAACCAAAATTTGGCCTCAAAAGTACCTACTTTGAGCTTAAAGTGCTAATAATTTCAAGTCTCTATTTTCATTTAGACAACCACCACCAGAAATTTTAGACTAAGAACTGAAAAACCAAATATTAGAACATTTTCAGTGAAATTTACAAATCAGAATATCTGAAGCTCAACAGAAGGGTAATTATAACCAAATGCATTCCAATTAGATTTGCTGTGTCCAATTTTAGAAGCAGGAACTGTTTTTGCTTTTGAGCTAGACTTGGAATCGTATTTGAGTTCCTCCTACAATGCAATACCAAAAGAAAATCCAAAACAAAGCATAGAAGACCCAAAGTAGAACACAAATATTGCAGTTCATCTAATAAAGTTCCCAATAAACTTAATAATTATTGCATAATTTTTTTTTTTTCCAAATCTGGATGATTACCTGTATCATAACAATTATTGTGGTTTCACTGCAAAGAGCAATTTAAGTGCTCTTGAAGCTTGACTTCCTCGTCCATAACCTTGAAAGCTTCTTTCTAGATATAAAAGTTTCTGCTTGGTATTAAATCATCTTTAACTTTCTCATTTTTTCCACCTTCATTTGTCTTTGTCTTAGCCAAGGCATTCTTTGATTTAGAAACAGTAATGAAAACCCATCAGCATCTGGGGGCTAGGATTCAGTGGTCAACATACAAGGACTCTACATTATCAAAGCTATCCAATATCTCCTGTAAAAAATTGTTGCATTAGGAACTCCTTTATAGTAATATTAGCATTTTTTGGACTTAACAAAACTTACAAAAAGCATATTATCTAATTTGCATAGAGCTGAGAGATTTATGTAGAGATCTGACCATGGTCTGGACGTATGACCTGGGTAAAAACAAAAAGCCAACAAAAACACATTCAAGAAATCATTCATATATTTAAGCCCAAACGTGTATAAATTTTTTACTTTTGCTTTTGCTTTCTTCCAGAAATATTTTAGCCATCACTATTCATTCTTGTGTAATGAGGAATATTTACTTTTTGAATATTTATGGAAATGAACGGTCTCCATTTTCAGTATTGCAATTTTTCTCAAATTTAAACCGCTCAACAACATCTAACACAAATTGATAGGGGAAAAGAGTTTAAGAAATAATAAGGAACCAATCGAAACTGACCTTAACACCTGGGATTGCCAAAACAGTGCGAACTCGTCGGAATCCATGGCTGCCACGGTAACGATTATTTCCAGCTTCAATCTCTCCCAAACAAGGCTAAATAAATTGAAGGAAATCCATCATGAAACAAAAACAAAAAGAAAAAAGGAAGAGAGAATTGAAGGACAAAGAGACGTCTTCTTTCATCCTTTGTGCGCAGAAAAATTAAAAAAAAAAAAAGGAAAGAAGGGAAAGGAAAGGGTTTTGCATTGCATGGTTAACATGTGTTGGTGCAAATAAATTTGAGTGTAACATGTCTTTGCTAAAAACTTAGGTTATAAACACATGGAGAATGACAAAAAGAAGAAAAAAGGAAAAAAAAAACTAAGCAATACGTAGATCCCGTTCGAACCCTGACCCTTGGGAAACAAAATCAATAACCTAACGAACCTGAGCACAGCACACTAGTACATAATATTTGGTGGTGGAGCGGCGGGGACATAAACACTACAACTGCCCTCCTCGTTTTAGTATATATATATATAAATTAATAATATATAGACAAATTTGTCGATTTATAATTTATAATTTATAACCAATATTTATTTCTAATATATAAATCATATTTAGTATATATTATCATATTCATTTCTTCGCGAGTTGTTTTATTAAATTTTCGTTTTATATAGAAAGTACAATATGCCGTTAATTTATTTAAAATAATTATAAATTTCAATTAGTTTAACAAAGTTTTAATTAGAGTTTATAATTCAAACACTACTTTTTTTAATCCTAGATAATTTTATATAAAATATAAATTTATACAATTCAAATAATTCAATGCGGATAATAATAATAGATAGATAAGCAAAAAATTTTAAATAATTTTATGTGGATAATTTTATGTTAAATTAAAAATATTAAAAGCATAAACAAAGAATATAGAATCCCGAAAGATAAAGTTACTGATAAATACTAATAACATATAAACAAAATTAACTATCTACTAAATCAAGGAGGATAAAAAATCAGTTAAATTAAATCTAAATTTACAATTAATATTGTTCTATCGTTCATATGTCTATCCCTTGGGTGCGTAATCAAGGGAAATTCTATGCAATAAAATGTTTCTGGCTTTCCATCTTATTCATCATCCAATTTGTGACACTACATTTTGTACCAACAAAGACTCAAATATAGATATGTAAATATTCAAAATAACTCATCGTTACATACCATTAAATAATAAAAGTAATAAAATCATAAATCATATGACATAAAAAATTAAAAGGCTCTCAATCCCGACATATACTTATCAAAAATGAGAAAAGATATAGCATTACATCGATTGAAGTAGAAGAGCTGACTATATATTTACACTGAAGTTGCTTTTGTCACTTCTCCTATTTAAAATCTGAAAAACATATAAACAAATAAATAAAGGATTTTATAAAATTTGTAGAAACAAAATTCTGAAACTTAATTCCTATTCAAAATCTGAAACACAAATAAACAAATAAAGAAATTTACAAAATTTGTAGAAACAAAAAGTCCGAAACTTAATTCTTGTTTCGGGAAAAGAGAAAGTATAATGACAAATAAAGAGATAGAAAATGAGATAAATAAATTATATTCATTTAAGTTATCAATTAGTTAGGGTTTAAATTATTATTTCGTTAGATTAAACGTAATCTTATTTTAATTTTTTTCATTTCAGTTATCAATTAGTTAGGATTTAAATTATTGATTAGTTAGAGATTAAGCGGAATCTTTTTTAAAATAATAATTATCTACATAAAATAATTAAAAACTATTAAAACTAAGAAAATTTGTAAAAAAAGATAAAAGGAAATTCTGAAAGGGGAGAGTGGTTTGTGAAGATCTTTTTTGCTTGAGGATTATATATAAGAACCCAATATAATCAATCAAGGATTTTTTTAAAAAATAATTTGTTATTTTATTTATTACCAATCAAAATATTGCACGACTTGTCATTATGAAATTTAACCAATGATGGTGCTAGGGGATCTAGGGGTGGCCCTTGCCCCTAAAAATTTTTTTTAAGATTTTACCCATAAATATTAAAATTTTTTATTTTACTGCTTAAAATTTCTTTTAATCAAAGATAGGGTGGAATACTGCCCTTCTCGTGAAGAAATATGGTAGTAAAATTTTAAATTTAGTTATCCCTTAATTTTTGAAATTTTTTTAGTTCTTCTAACTTTAATTCCTGACTCCATCATTGAATTTAACCATTTTTTTATCAATTTTAATATTTCTCCTCTCACTCATGAGTGTATGTGTCTATATATGTGTATATACCTATACATATAAACGGGCGCTTATGATACGAGAAGATTAAGATTTTATTATTGCATTTTACCGTTGAAAATTACTCTTGTATTTTTAGAAATACATAATTTTTGTTTCTATTTTTTTGCCTATATTATACTATGACATACTTATGTCAATGTTTTGTACTTTTCCATCAAAAATTGATATTTTATCATGTGTTTTGCTGATATTAAATAATACATCCATATATATTGACTATTTTCTTTGTAAATTCAACTAATTTATTCCTATATTAACCAAAAAAGTATAATAATTTATATAAAGATGATAGTGTAACATAAGTAAAAATAGAGATAAAATTATATATTTTTAAAATTAATAATACAATTATGTATTTTGATAAAATATAAGGATAAAACATTAACTTTTACTTAAAAACATTTAGGGGGAAAATGAAAATGTAAAAAGGCGGTAGATTGCGCATCACGCACACACGTGCAACCACACTTCCTTCGTCTACGCGCTTAGTCCAAACTGTATTATATTATTATTATTATTATTATTTTTGAGAATGAATTCATTTGAAGCGATTTTAAGTAATTTACAATACAAAAAGTGGATATTTCATCTTGGAGCTCACGGAAATATGACCGCTTATTTTGAAAAAAAATAAAAAAAACCATTGTTTATCTCTTCTGAGACCCCTTTGAAAATGAGCAAAGACCGACCCTCCCTCTCTCTATATATATTTATTTATCAGAAAGTTGAAAAATAAAGAAGGAAAATAAAAATACAAGGAACTTGGTGAGAGAAACACAGAGCTGCATATTACTTGGATCAAAGTTTTTCTGCTCAGGTACTTCATACTTTTTCTTTTCTTTTCCGTTTCTTTTATTTGAATCTTTTCTTTTTAATTCATTTTTAAATTTATCAAGAAATGAATGAGATGTATCGTAATCGAGGGCCGGATTAGGGTTTGCTCTGCTTCTGCTTAATCAACATAAGGAATGAATTGAAAATCCCTCAATGAATTTGTTTAGTCGGAACTGAATTTTCAAATGAAAATTGCGATTTAGATTTTATGTAAAGAATTTATTACTAAATATTTGTTTGATTTATTTCTTAAAAATTTTGGGTGCAGTTTGAATCGATTGAATTTGGGGTTCTCTTTCCATTTTCTTGTGAATTTTTGTTGTGGAGGATACAGGTAATTTTGGTTGTACTTGTTATCGGAGTATGAGCTTTCCATCCCGAAGTGATCAAAGGGATAGGACTAATAGATCGCAGAATGCTCGTCAAACATGGGTCCCAAGAGGATCTGGCCCAACTGTTGCTGTGAATCGACCGACAAGCTTCAATTCAACCCCTGAAAGGAATGATGGTGGGCACCCCAATCATTCTTCTGTGCCATCCAATCCTAGGCATGGTGGCAATGCCAATATTAATACCAATTCCAACCCCTCTAGAGGGGGTCGAAAGACTTGGCCTACGAATCACAGGAGAGACAGGGAGAGGAGCCAGACTCAGGAGGTTGAGTTGAAAGATCCCAATATGCCCCAGCTTGTGCAAGAAATTCAGGACAAACTTGTGAAGGGTACTGTTGAGTGTATGATCTGTTATGACATGGTGCGGAGATCTGCATCTGTTTGGTCTTGCTCGAGCTGTTACTCAATTTTTCATTTGAATTGTATTAAGAAATGGGCTCGTGCTCCTACCTCTATTGACTTGTCAGCTGAGAAGAGTCAGGGTTTTAATTGGCGGTGCCCGGGTTGTCAGTCTGTGCAGCTCACATCGTTGAAGGAGATTCGATATGTTTGCTTTTGTGGGAAGAGGACTGATCCACCATCAGATTTGTATTTGACCCCACATTCCTGTGGCGAACCATGTGGGAAGCCGCTTGAAAGGGGAGCTTTGGGCTCTGGTGAGAGTAAAGAGGATCTTTGTCCTCATGTTTGTGTCTTGCAATGTCACCCAGGCCCCTGCCCTCCTTGTAAAGCATTTGCTCCACCGCGGATGTGTCCTTGTGGGAAGAAAATAATCACAACAAGATGTTCAGATCGTATATCTGTCCTTACGTGCGGTCAACGATGTGATAAGCTTCTTGAATGTGGCCGTCATAGATGTGAGAAGATATGCCATGTCGGTCCTTGTGATCCTTGTCAGGTTCTAGTCAATGCTTCATGTTTTTGCAGAAAAACATTGGAAGTTGTCCTATGTGGAGACATGGCTGTAAGAGGGGAAGTGAAAGCTGAAGATGGTGTTTTCTCTTGTAACTCAACATGTGGAAAGATGCTAGGTTGTGGAAATCATACATGTGGCGAAACTTGCCACCCAGGCTTTTGCGGGGACTGTGACTTGATGCCAGGCAGGGTGAAGTCTTGCCATTGTGGGAAAACAAGTTTGCATGTGGAAAGAAAGAGTTGTTTGGATCCAATTCCAAATTGTACAAATATATGTGGTAAACCCCTTCTGTGTGGAATACACCATTGTAAGGAGGTGTGCCATGCTGGGGCTTGCCCACCTTGTCTGGTTTTTGTTACACAAAAATGTCGCTGTGGATCAACCTCTCGAACTGTAGAATGCTACAAAACAAGTGCAGAGAATGAAAAATTTACATGTGAGAAACCTTGCGGTCGGAAGAAGAATTGTGGTAGGCATCGATGTAGTGAAAGGTGCTGCCCTCTTTCCAACCCACATAATGTTCTCTCTGAAGATTGGGATCCGCACTTCTGTCAAATGGCATGTGGAAAGAAACTGAGGTGTGGGCAGCATTCTTGTGAATCATTGTGTCATAGCGGCCATTGTCCACCTTGCCTGGAGACGATATTCACTGATTTAAGCTGTGCATGTGGGAGAACTTCAATCCCTCCTCCTTTGCCATGTGGTACACCTCCTCCTTCATGCCAGCTTCCTTGTTCAGTTCCTCAGCCTTGTGGCCATTCAGCTTCGCACAGCTGCCACTTTGGAGACTGCCCGCCTTGTTCAGTCCCTATAGCAAAGGAGTGTGTTGGTGGGCATGTGGTTCTTGGGAACATACCTTGTGGTTCAAAGGATATACGATGTAACAAGCTCTGTGGTAAGACCAGGCAGTGTGGCTTACATGCATGTGGCAGAACGTGTCATCCACCTCCCTGTGATCCTTCCTGCGGAACTGAAGCAGGTTCAAAATCTTCTTGTGGGCAGACTTGTGGTGCTCCTAGAAGAGATTGCAGGCATACTTGCACTGCTCTTTGTCATCCTTCTACTTCTTGTCCTGATGTGAGATGTGAGTTCCCTGTCACAATTACTTGCTCCTGTGGGAGGATAACAGCATCTGTTCCTTGTGATGCTGGAGGGAGCAGCAGTGGTTTTAATGCTGATACAGTTTTTGAAGCATCAATTGTTCAAAAATTGCCTGTACCACTACAAACAGTGGAATCAACTGGCAAGAGAATTCCTCTTGGTCAGAGGAAGCTTATATGTGATGATGAATGTGCTAAGTTGGAGCGTAAAAGGGTTCTTGCTGATGCTTTTGACATCACTCCCCCAAGTCTTGAGGCTCTTCATTTTGGTGAGAATTCTGCTGTGACAGAGCTGCTTGCAGACCTGTACAGACGTGATCCAAGGTGGGTTCTTGGTGTGGAGGAGAGGTGCAAGTACTTGTTACTTGGAAAGACTAGAGGATCTTTAACTGGTCTCAAGGTTCATGTTTTCTGCCCTATGCTGAAGGATAAGAGAGATGCAGTTAGACTGATAGCTGAGCGGTGGAAGCTTGCAATTTATTCTGCTGGTTGGGAGCCAAAGCGTTTCATTGTGGTGCATGTTACACCCAAATCTAAGCCCCCATCTCGTGTGATCGGGGTTAAGGGTACCACCACTTTAACTGCTCCACATCCACCTGCATTTGATCCTCTAGTGGATATGGATCCCCGGCTTGTTGTTTCTTTTCTAGATTTGCCAAGGGAAGCAGATATAAGTTCGTTGGTTCTTAGGTTTGGTGGGGAGTGCGAACTGGTTTGGTTGAATGATAAGAATGCACTGGCTGTATTTAATGATCCAGCTCGTGCTGCTACGGCTATGAGGAGGTTGGATCATGGATCAATATATCATGGGGCTGTTGTTCTTCAAAATGCTGGTGCATCAGTGGCTTCGTCAGCCACTAATCCTTGGGGAGGAGCAGCAGGTACTGCCAAAGATGGAGGAGCAGTAGCAGCTTTGAAGCCATGGAGAAAGGCTGTAGTTCTGGAGCACGGTAGGAGGGAAGATTCATGGGGCAGTGAAGAATGGTCTCATGGATCAGCTGATGTTCAGGCTTCTGCATGGAAAGGGAAAGAAGCTCCAATTGCAGCTTCAATTAACCGGTGGAGTGTCTTAGATTCTGAAGTAGCTGTTAGTTCATCTGCTGCATCTGTGAGGACTGAAGATCCAACCAAACGAGCTGGCAGCTGTTCCAATTCAGCAACTGAGGAATCAAATGCAACAAACATTTCAAATATGCCGCTTGGAAGAGTTTCAAGTCAAGCAGAGTTGTCTGAAGTGGTGGATGATTGGGAGAAAGCTTATGATTCTGAGAATATACAATAAGGTTAATATGATTTTGGAATATGTACAAGACGGGTGGCATTTAGTTTGCACCTGTTCTACCCTATTTTTTGAAGTCAACCATTTTGCTCGTTTCCTTTTATTTTTATTTTTCTCTTATACTTTTCTGGTTGGTTTAAGGAGTTCCATCACCAATTCAATCTGTGTGTTCAATGTTTTTCTTTGACCTTTTTTGGCTTAGTTTTTGAAGTCTATGCATTAGATTGGAGGATGCATATGCATCTGGTTGTATGGAAGAATGTTCATTCTGTAAAGTTGAACTTCTTGCTATGGTTACTCATATTGGACTTCTGAAATACGATTTCTTTTTCCTCAAAGCTTTTTAATATCAACCTAAGAGCCCCATATTCTAATTGAACATCTGGCTCGAGCTTTTTAGTATCAATTTTTGTTTGTCTATCATGTTTTATGTTTTATGCACCAATTTAAACTGGCATGCATCTTCTTTAGGGTTTCCCTTGTCACTAAGTTGAATGTAGCCTGTTACTAAATTGGCTTTTAGCTCAGTTTTTCAGTATTCAAAAGGATGTTTCGTATGTAATTGATAATACATCGATTTTATCTGTATTGTCCTATTTAAATGTAACTGACTAAAAAATGATATAGTGGGTTCCAAACATAAATAAGGAATATAAAAGTTTATTAATAAAACTCAGCAAAAATTTGAACTTGGCCAATCTAAATCAAGTTAATCTGACCTAACTGATACATCCGGGCATAAAACGTAATATCTTAAAAAGGGTCAAAATGGTTGATTAATAAAATGCCATGTGCATCAAATTTTCCTCAAAGGAGAAGCCATGTGATGTGTCTTTATATGCTAAAGAATTTTGATTTAAAAATGATACCATGCCGTCCCTGTCCGTTCGGCTTTCCCTCTCTGCAACCATTAACCAAAACCAAAAAAAGTTATCAGTCAACAAGTTATAGTAAGCTGTTTCTTTCTTCTAGATCTTCCACTTCATAGTTTACTACGTTATTTCACATTGCATTGGTTCCTCCGTTACTCTTTCTCTTCTATTGCTCATTGTTGGTTTCATATATTTTCTCTTCACTTTAAAATATCTGTTTTATCTGTAAATAATGGATCATCTTGGTAGCCCTGGTATGTGCTCTGCTGGATTGAAGGTATCATTTCTTGCTCCTTTTTAGCATATTTTGGTTTTTTGATATATTTTGTTGTGTTCACTGTGATTAATCTTGTTCTTTCTTTATGTTTTGTGTATTCTGATTATTCTCTTTTTAAATTATCCTTTTGGCAAACAAGTGAATGCGGTTCTTTTGTTTTGTTAAATACTATCTTCACTGCCAGATATTTATCTTTGTATCAAATTAAATTATGAAGAAAAAATTGAAAATATGCCTTCTTCCATCTTCAGGAAACTCTGGGTTTAGTTTGTTAAACTGAAATTGTAGGCTTGGCAAATTGATTGATGATGGATCATTTATTCTTATTGGTGGCTGATTAGACTGCCTCTAGTCTTCTATTTTTGATAGTAACACTGAAAGTTGCTTCAGTACTTGAAATGGTAGTTTTTGTGGAGAGGGTCTTTACTAGTTAACGGGTTTCTGTTTTTATGATTCGATGGCAAAAGAAATCATGGAGTTAATTTTTTCTTTTCCAAGGCTACAGATAAGCATTTCTTGCTAAAGTATCTACTTGCTGTCTTGCATAATTGGCTTGATTTTGTTGTAGGAATTTTTTTGGCATGGTGTATCATAAATGAGGATTTAGGATGTTAAGATGGATATATGTTCACATAAGATTAGACAATAAATATAAGAGATGACCATATTTGACAAAAAGGTACAAGTTGGACAAGTTTTTTTTTTTTTTTTTTTTTTTAAAGGTACAAGTTGTTGACAGTTATTTGTTTTTTTTTTTTTTTTTTCATTTTTTTTGGGGGGGGGGGGGGGGGGGGGGTTGTAAGTAAACGAGAGCAGGATGGTTTGAGATGGTTTTAGGTTTCAATATGCCTATGTAAGACCTCCCTAGTGCTCCGATATGTAAGTGTGATACATTGCCAAGTCCGATCAGGATACTAAATGGAGAAGAAGGTAGACCAAAGATCTAGGGAAGGTGGGATTAAGAAGGATTTCGCATCATTAGAATTTTGGTGGTTGGAAATGGGAACCACTTGGATTGGTCAAAAATGGAGCAAGTTGAATGGCATAATATCAAAAGCAGCTCTAGATTTGAAATCGAGAGGAGCTGAGTGGTAGAGGCCATAACTGTGGTGAAACAAAATGTTTTATGATCTCATCTCTCTCTCGTCTCTTGTTGGGCAAATCTCTTCTGAAGACAAAGGCATTCAAATTTCCGTCCCATCATCGTTTATTCACCCTATTTTCAGTCGCAAGATGCACAAATAAATTATAAAAAGTAGAAGCAGTTAAGTCTAATACAGCTTAAATTTTTCGTTAATCAAACTTAAATTGGAGCCTCTTAAAAGGCTACCTAAAAGATTTCCCATAAATGGAGAACTGCAAGTGAAGAAGAGTAATGGGTAGTTGATATAAATCTAATTCAAGTTGATTAATCTCCTCTTATTGAAATGAAAGGAACTCTGGGAATCTATATCGCTCTCATAGGAAGAATTTCGGTTTAAGGATATGGTATGTTTTAAAATGGAGTGGGAAAGGCTTATGGTACATAAAAGTTCCTTGAAAAAAAAAAAAATTGATGGACCAGTCAAGCCAGTGGAGGGATAATAGATGTTATTTCCCTATGCATTGTTCTCACAGTTAGTATAAAACGTAATGCAAATGACCTTTTTATCTGCGGCTGCATGATAACTCATCCAGATTTTTAACGAGAGTTAAGTATACATGTTTTCCATATCCCTGAAGAAGTATTTGTTTGCCCTAATTAAATCAACTGGTGTAAAAGCTTGGAGCACTTGTCAATTTCCTGACAACTGGCAGAATGTTAAAATCCATAAGAATTCTCGTGTCTTTGGCTTCTTAGTTGAATACGAATGGACTATCTCTATTATTTCTTATAAGAAATTTATATTTAGACCTTTACCAATCATTAGACTGCTTATATTAATTTTCAATCTTGTGGCGTGAAGAACTAAAAGAGAAATTTAACTGCTAGTTTTGACCATTTTCGAATCTGTTAGATTTTCTATCATGATGATGATAAATGAACAGAAGGAAGAACATGGAGGCAAACACAGTCAAGTCTCCTGTCACTCCAAATTGAGAGTAGTTTACGGTCCTGAGCGGCCTGGTTTTACTGGCTGCTTTGTATGTCTTGGGACAATTCACCGTCAGAATTTTCACAATACTTCGATGGGGGGGGGGGGGGGGTGTAGTAAACCGAGAGCAGGATGTTTGAGATGGTTTGTTCATATCCTATGTAGACCTCCCTGTGCTCCGATATGTAAGTGTGATACATTGCCAGTCGAAGGTACTAAATGGAGAAGAGGTAGACCAAGATCTAGGAGAAGTGGTTAAGAAGGATTTCGCATCATTAGAATTTGTGGAAAATGGAACCTTGGATTGTCCAAAATGGAGCAAGTGAATTCATAAATCAAAGCAGCTAGATTGAAATCGAGGCTAGTTGATCAACTGTGGTGAACAAAATGTTTGATCTCTCTCTCTCTCTCTCTCTCTCTCTCTCTCTCTCTTATTCCCTTTCAGTCGCACCAAATAAATTATAAAAAGTAGAAGAGCGTTAAGGTAAACAGCTAAATTTTCGTTAATCAATGCTATTGAGCACTTTAAAGGCTCCTAAATTTCCATATGAGAACTGCAAGTGTAAGAAGAGTAATGGAGTTGATATAATCTAATTCAGTTGATTAATCTCCTCTTATTGATGAAAGGACTTGGGATCTAATCCCCCATAGAAGGAATTCGGTTGGGATTTGGGTGTTTAATGGAGGGGAAGGCTATTTCATAAGTCTGAAAAAAAAAAAAATTGAAAATACATGTCAAGCAGTGAGGGATAATAGTTGGTTTTCTATGCAGTTGATTTCACAGTTAGTATATATTGCAAATGACCTCTTTATCTCCTGCATGAACTACAGATTTTTACGAGAGTTAAGTATACATGTTTTCCATATCCTGAGAAGTATTTGTTTGCCCTATTAATCAACTGTGTAGCTTGGAGCTGTCATTCTGCAACTGCAGATGTTAAAATCCATAGAATTCTCGTGTCTTTGGCTTCTTAGTTGAATACGAATGGACTATCTTCTATTATTTCTTATAGATTATATTTAGACCTTACAATCATTAGACTGCTAAATTTTTCTCTTTGTGAAGACAACTAAAGAAATTTAACTTGCTAGTTTTGACCATTTCGATCTGTTTTTCTGATGTGATAATGAACAGAAGGAGACATGGAGGCACACAGTCATCCTGTCATTCCAAACCCTTGGAGTAGTTTACGGTCGCCTGGTTACTGCTCCTTTGTATGTCTTTGGGACAATTCACGTCAATGATTTCCAATCCGATCAAACTGCATATGAATACTTCTCTTTTATTTTCTGGACTCTGACCATCATATCTTTACTAAAGTATGCATTCATAGCATTGAGGGCTGATGATAATGGGGAGGGTAATGATCCTTAGTAACCGTTTAACTCAAATTATAATTTTGAAAGGATTGCTACATGGAATTATTTACTTTAATGACTTCTTGCAGGTGGTACTTTTGCTTTGTACTCCTTATTATGCAGGAATGCTAAAGTAGGTCTGCTTCCAGATGATAGAACCACCAATGAGGCAACTCATCATCAAAAGGGAAGCCCTCTCAGAATCAAGGTTGAATCGAGGGCTAGAAGGGCAATTGAAAAACATAAAAGTAGCCATTATTTAATGCTCTTCTCAGCACTGTTTGGTGCTTGTATGATAATTGGGGATGCAGTGCTTACCCCATCTATTTCTGGTTTGTCATTAATTTTTTGTCAAAATTTGATTCTTTTTCAATTTTAATAGATTGATTATTTTATTTCTTTTTCCTTTTTTTTACACTAACATAATGATGTTGTTAAATCTTCCAGTATTATCAGCTTCGTCAGGTCTTCAAAGAACATTATCAAAAATTAAATGTAAGAGCAAACAACAAGATTAAATATACAAAGATTATAGATATTTCTTCATAATCACATCCCTTCTATCACTATCATCTCATATTTTGATTTGTATCTTTTGGTTTTTCTCCAGATTCCTCTTCACTGAAGAAACAGCAGTCCATATCAGATGCTTTAGAAAGATGTAAGAACCCTAACATGAAAGTAGATTCCTTTTATTTGGATATTTGTTTAATTATGCACACTCTAGTTTTTTAAATTAATCTCGGGATATGGTACGTTAATATTATCCACTTTCGATGCTTCCATTACATACAATGCTCATTCCTACAAAGCTTTAAGTGAAAATTCAAAGTGGAAGAGTGATGAAACAAACAAACCAAACTAAAGAGTTAATTTTTTAGTCACAACTCTAGGACTGGAATATTTTGTTGCATTTATCTGGCTCTTGTCAACTTTTAGATGCATATGTGTACATGTACAATACTGTACTTGCACGTGTCATGATATTATATGTAACAAAACCATCGAGATTCCTATTATGCAAAATGTTGAAATCAGCAGGAACATTCCAAATTGTATCCTCTGATATCCTGTTGAAGTCTTTAGATACTCTCTGTTTATGCTTTTCTTAACTAATCTAAAAGCATAGTCGTGCCCATTTTATTGAGCTACTTTCCGGATTTGATCTACTGTGACCCATTTATTACTTTTGGAAGAACATCTGCGAGGAATGGAAAATACTATTTTTGGTACTTATGAATCAGCTTTGAGGAATTTTGTAACAAGCTGGTAAAGTGTGAAGAACTTTTGAAGAATTGTATGAGGGAACTTTTTATTTCAACTGCAAAATACTAGGAGTACTCGAGGGTAAATTTTGCAGAAGCATGGTTTGACTAGCCATGATGTGTGTTAGTGAGTGTTGGACTGTAAAGAAACAACACAAGCAAAATATGAATGTTGCAGAAATAAGGTTATTAAAATTGATGTGTGTCAAGTGATGGAAATCAGCAACCACATGTTGATCATGAAAATGTAGAGTTGCAAATGAGTTGAGGGGACTTGAGTTTGGACTTTGTTCCTTTTTTCTATCTTTAAATCCTTGTGCATCAGAACTAAATTAGTAATCAGATCTTTGATTGTCTAATTTCTTGAGGATGTGAAACTTGGGATTGCGAATGACATGCTGCAATTCTTTGATAACATATTTAAATGACTGAATAGTTTTCTACACCACATTTATCTGCATTATATTTGTAGAATCTTTGCATAACTTTCCTCTGTTTTTTATTTTATCTTTTTCAGATGTACCTGTTCCTTTTGCATGTGCTGTTCTTGTATGCTTTTTCATGCTACAGCACTATGGTACCCATAAAATTGGGTTTATGTTTGCGCCAATTGTTACAGTATGGCTTTTATTTATCAGTGGAATGGGTATATACAACATATTCTATTCAAACCCAAAAATTCTGGGTGCTATCTCCCCAGCATATATGTACAGATTTGTGCAAAATATTGACAAGAGGAGTTGGAGGTCACTGGTTAGCATTCTTCTTAGTGTTGCAGGTAAGTTAGCATGTACTAAAATGCCTTTGGTATGCAACATTTCCATCTATGACTTTGAATTTGTTTTACGAAGTAATTAGTCGCTTTTAATTAAGGTATTCAAGGTAGTAAACTTTTCAAAATTAGCCATAACAATAATGCCAAACAAACTGGTGTCTTACTTGTTTGAGTTTTGAAGTGTACAAGTTGTTTTAACCAATGTTTTCTTTTCAATGACAGGATCAGAGACCATGTTTGCAGATATGGGTCATTTCTCCAAGAAATCGATCCAGGCAATGAAATAACTATGAATACTTGCTTTGGTATATATAATGTCTACTCTATCGGATTATATATAACTGCTGTATGGTATCTGTACTGCAGATAACTTTCACATGCTTGATTTATCCACTTCTAGTTTTTTGCTATGCTGGCCAAGCTGCATATATCTCCAAGCACTTGCATGATTCTGATGATTTTAACCACCTTAGTAAATCCATTCCTAGTAAGTTGTTTCACTTTTTTCATTTGGTTTTTAAGCTGCTGTTCATGGGGTTCTGATTTCTGACATGTGGGAAAATGGCAAATCCAGAACATCTTGGTCATGTCTTCATATTCTTGTCTCTGCTCGCTTCGGTTATTGGAAGCCAAGCTACAATAACTGCCAGCTTCTCCATCATAAACCAATGCCTGGCACTTGGTTGTTTCCCCAGAGTAAAAGTCATACATACATCAGATAGTCGTCATGGGCAAATTTACATTCCAGATGTCAACTGGTTATTGATGGTCCTCTGCCTCACTGTCACTATTGCTTTTCATGATGTACAAAGAATTGCAAGTGCAGCAGGTACAATCTTCTATCAATATAATTTGTTCTTTACTTTTCTTGTCTTCTTCTTCTTCTTCTTCTTCTTCTTTTATTGTTATTATCATTATTCTTGTTGTTGTTTTTGAGATCTACAAGCTTAAAGTAGAAAAGGGTAACATGGGAATTAACTCAATAAAGCAGTTGAGCAGTTTTTTGAATAGTTGAGAAAAAAAAAAACTATTGTATGGCAATAGAGGAAAAAGAATATTGAGGAATTATAATCGTCAAACTGTTGAATTATGAGCATGTTTATATCACACAACTAGGTAGTTGAAGAAATTCTTTTCTTTCTTTTCATCTCTCCGATGAGAATTATCCATGTCCATATTAAATTAACATGAACAAGCTAATCCTGTTACAGGTCTGGCAATCATATCTGGAATGATAGTTACTACTTGTTTGATGTCTCTTGTGATTGCTTTGCACTGGGAGAAGACTTTACTTGCATCAGGATGCTTTTTATTGTTTTTCGGCTTTGTCGAAGCCGTGTACTTATCGGCATGTTTGTTGAGTTTTCACAAAGGAGGATGGTATCTAGTTGTCCTTTCAATATTGACTTTCACAATCATGCTTGCTTCGCATTATGGGACTAAGAAGAAATACGAGTTTGATTTACAAAACAAGGTTCCCACAGAATGGCTTACTGATTTTAGTCCGGGGCTCGGCGTTTCTAGAGTGCCTGGAATTGGTTTAATCTACACTGATATTGTGTCAGGAATCCCAGCTTTTTTCTCACATTTCATTACAAACCTTCCTGCATTTCATCAAGTACTCATATTTGTTTCTTTCAAGTCCCTACCAGTGCCTTATGTGCATCCAAACATGCGATATCTTGTAGGCAGGGTTGGTGCCCGAGACCACAAAATCTACCGATGCATTGTAAGATATGGATACTGTGATCATCATATCAGGGACACAGATGATTTTGAGGAACAGATTATTCAAGCAATCGGAGAATTCATTTCCTTAGAAGAAAATGATTCTGAGTCGCTCATTTCCCCTGAAGGAAGAATGATGGTTGTTGGGAAGCCATCTCCAGAAGGAAATGCTTTGATTCCTCTACAGAACAGTAACTCAATTATGCAGCCTGCAACTTCAAAAATGGAAAATGCAGAAACTCATGCTAGTCCAGCCGGAAATCTGATTCAGAAAGGCACTTCCTCGAGTCGAAAAAAGGTGCAATTTACGTTACCAGCAAATAGCCCGAAAATGTTAGTATCAGTGAAAGAGGAATTACAAGAACTGATTACTGCCAGGGAGAGTGGTACTGCATATTTCTTGGGTCAGTCACATTTAACATTGCGAGAAGGCTCAAACTTCATCAAGAAATTCTTGATTATGACCTATGTTTTTCTTGATAAAAACAGTAGGGAGCCTCCTGTGGCACTGAACATTCCTCATGCAGCTCTTGTAGAGGTTGGCATGGTTTATACTATATAACCGGAAAATTTTTGATACTATTATAATATATTCCTTCCTTGATATGTTGGATTTGTATTTAAGTTTGTGGAATTCACCCGAAAAGTATATATATTTCCTAGTGAATTTTGATTTACACAGCAATTATGTAGATTCTGCTTGACGTGATATACAATTTTATCCAAAAAATTGATTTTTTGGATAATTGTTAGCAGGAGCTTTCGACTCGAAGACTAATTGAATTCATTTTTAAACTGGACTAGGTTATTAAGTGAAAATAGATAATGTGTCTGAGAAGAGAGAAAATCTGAGTCTTTGGCTTTTTTTTTCCCAATGACCCTGCTAGAAAATTGATAACTTCCATTTCCTATGATTTTTTTTTTCACCATTCGATATATTATATACATCGCATCGAATCTGTACTATCAGCAACGGTTATAACAATTTACAGCCCATCTAAGGCAATATAATTCATTACAAAAGCTCGTTAGGGGCAATAGAACTCAGGGGAAGAAATATAAGGAAGAAATATAAATTGAAATTAATTGTAACAAAGTGAAGGATTGAACTTGTGACTAGTTTCCAGAGCATCACCCCTAACAACAGGGTAGAGGATCATTTGCCCCTTTTCCTATGAATTCTTCAAAATACTCCAAACAACTTTGGATTCTTTTAGGCAGTGAATTATTAGGAAAGTTTGCTTCAACGCGACCTACAGTAAATTTAATATTTAAAAAATGGTTAGCAAAAAAAGGTAAATTTTGCATACGGAGCATAACCTAAATACATATATCACATGGGGGTAGACCTATTCATATAGGTACCCGTTGTGCCCGCCGGATAAGCCTGGCAAGAATTTGTGGCTTAGACAATCAATTTTAGGTCCAAGCAATTTGGTTGGGCTCGCAATAAGTCCAATTGATTGGATTGGAGTTGCTATATGCACGAAAGAGCACTTTAATACGCAATTTAGTCATAACTCGGTCGGCTGTAAATACACGTGGTAATCAAAAAAAAAAAAAAAAAAAAAAAATTCAAGCACAACGGTTATAAATATAGACAGGATTTACAAGACCGGCAATCTAAAGGATGACCAGGCAATATAATCATCATTACAAAAGCTCGTAAGGGTTATCTGTGTCAATATCAGAACTTCAGGGGAAAGGAGAGATTTCACGGATTAGTATTGCATATAAATTGGAAAACTATAAAACATTTGTGGTAAATGAAGTTGGATATTACGCGCGCGCTATATTGTATATTATTGTTGCGCGAATCTTTGTGACTAAGTTTTCCAGAATGCACAGCTAACCAACTTAGGAGTGAAGATGATATCTATTTTTGCGCCTCCTCTGTATCCTAATGAATTTATCTTATCAAAATTACAGGTCCGCAAGACAACTTAATAGAGAGAGAAGCGCGCAATTTTTCCTCTTTAGGCACAGAGAATTAAATTTAGTGTAAGTTTCGGGCTATATCAACGCGACACTTATACACAGTAAATTTATTATATTTAAAAAAATGGTTAGCAAAAAAAGGTATATTTTTGCCATACAGGATATAAGCATAACGTCAGCTTAGTAATACATTATAGGTTTCCGATATATAAATACCAAATAAGGTTGCGAGTGGGGGGGGGGGGAGGGGGGGGTGCATAAAGGAAGGAAAAAAAAAAAAGACATTAAATCGCTACAAGATATGAGGTACCGTTGTGCCCGGCCGGATCTATAATGCCTGGCCAATATTATGAGATGAGGCTATATAAGACAAATCAAATATTTTAGGTCCCAAGCAATTTGGGTTGTGCTTCTGGCAATAAGTACCAATGTTTGAGATTAGGATTGCGCGAAAACTAAAATTACATTTTGCCACGAAAAGAGCCACTTTTAAATACACTAATTTTAGTCATAACACACGGTTCGGCTTGTAAATACAACCAGTGGTAAATCAAAAAAAAAAAAAAAAAAAAAAAAAAAAAATTTACAGCCCCGTACTGGAGTATATTCCCAAAGCCCATGGGTATCACTCCGGGCTGCACAAAGCTTAATCGAGCCTTGTGCCAAGACCTAGACCAAAAAAATTCTTAAAATTTCTTCGAGCCGGAACAAAATTTGAGCTTTAATATAAAAAAAAAAGTTCTTCAGCCAGAGCTAACGCCAGCTCAATAAAATCTCAACAAGTCTGTATAGAGATATAATAAGACTGAACTTTACTAAATTTATAAATGCCGATACTTAATAAAAAAAAAAAAAAAAAAAAAAAAATTCCACATGTACTTCCCAAAGCCCATGGGTATCTGCAAAGCTTAATCGAGCTTGTGCCAGACCTAGACAAAAAAATTCTTAAAATTTCTTCGAGCCGGACAAAATTTGAGCTTATATAAAAAAAAAGTTCTTCAGCCAGAGCTAACCCAGCTCAAATCAAATCTCAACAAGTCTGTATAGAGATATAATAGCACTGAACTTTACTAAATGCCGATATTTATCGGCTATAAGCTATCAACCACCTAAAATAGATAATTTATTACTCTTTTTGTTCCATTTTATTTGTTTCTTTTTTTTTGTAAGGTTTTCAAATTTATATATGTAAATAATTATTTTTTTTATAATAATCTTTATGATTGTTCATCAAATGAATGATTTTTATTAATATCTTAATGAGTTAACGGTAAAAAAAGGGTAAAATAATATTTATTGATAAATTCTCAATTTGCGTATTTTGTCAAACCATACAACTAAAGTGAAATCGAAAGAGTATATTTTAATAAATTATCGTTGGAATTCTATTTCTACGTATTTAATAATTAATTAAATTAATAATAATAATAATAACAACAGCAGTATAGGCTTTAAAACATGCATAATTTTTATCTAAAATGAAATTATACAAACACTGAAATTACAAGTAACTTCAAAAATGAGAATGAAATCCAATTTTTAATAATTAAATTCCCCAGTTCCAACCAAATGACTGGAACAAACTTACCCATTTACAGCAATATTCTGATTTGTGAGGCAATAAACAGTTGCAAAGTATTATATCCCCATGTGTGAACAAAACTGTTCCAACCATTAATTATTACACTAAAACAGTAACAAATTTGGATTTTCTGATAGCAAAAGTAAGAGAATGAGCAGTATAAGAGGAAGGATAAAGACGAAGAGACAACTGCCTGTACATATCATATATGTACTAACAAATAAAAGTTCCCATTATTCGAGAAACCCCTTGAACTGTAACTTTCATGAAATGTAAACCAAAAAAATGTACTTAAAAGGCATAATAGATTAAGGCAAAAAAGGCCAAAACCCTTCAATGAGTGTTCTCTGACTTATAATATTGGATACCCATTTATTTGCATGCATGGGTCAATCCAAAAAGTTGGAGGAGCATCTGTAGCTGATTGTACTCTTCAATTATAGTAATCGACTAATAGTGCTCTTTCTTATATAACAGCAAATGAGGTAAAAGTTTTATATTTTCTTCTTTCAACTGTTTTGGGGATAATGGAGAGTAACAGTAGTAGAGAAAAAGAAGTGGAAGAAGCAGAAACCCTCAAGAAGAGAATCTCTAGCCATCCTTTGTATGGACTTTTGGTTCAGACTCATATGGACTGTTTAAAGGTCTCTCTTTCCGTTTTGCTTTTTAAGTTCTTTTTCTTTCGAAGAATTAATGAGCTCCATTGACACCTTCAATTCTAGATTTTTTACAAGTATTTTGATGATTTAAATCGTTTTTTTTTTTTTTTGGGTTTTTTCAGGTTGGTAGTATTGGTGATATAGACCAAAGTGATCCCATGAAGAAGAAGCAAGCTGTTAAAAAACCCAGTTCGAGTTCGTTAAGCCAGCCAGAGCTTGATCACTTCATGGTAAAGTATTTATATCTCGCATATACACATATGTCAAGAGAGAGGGAGACAGGACAAAATAAAACAGATATCTATATCTAGGGTTTTAAGGGCTTTTATGGATGTTCATGAAAAGCCATGTAGAGTTTTAGTTAGTGACAGTATTTATATATCTTCACTATTAATCAATAAAAAAGAAAAGAAAAGAAAAGAAAATGCTCCCCCGTCAAAAATAGGTAAACATGGTATGATTTGACAATCTTCAATTCAAAACTAATTTTTTTTAAAATTTTTAATATTTTTATAATACTGTATGTTCAAGTCTTAATTAAATAAATTATAATTCACTTAAAATAATCAAAAAAATTTAATTAATCCAATTAAGTGTAGTTGGGTTGGTATCATGTCCTATAAAGAAGGTCAGAAGTAAAAAGTTTTAAGTTTAAATTCTCTCAAACATGAAATTATTACCACATAAACTACAATGTTATATAAATCCATTAGACCTTCTATATATAAAAAAACAATTTAAATTAAACTTTACATTTTAATAGAAATTAATTTAAATTAATAGACCTTTTTTGACTAGTTTATATTTCAAAATCATGTTTTGTGGACCATATTAAAAACATAAACTAATGTAACTAAAAACATTTCTAGTGTAAACAAATTACAAATGTAATTAGAAGTATTTTGAGTATAAATTTCACCCTAAATTGGTTTAAAAAAGTGAATAATAAGACAGGTCTGTCTAATCAGCTTCTTAAAATGGGTAATAAACCATTACGAATTTGAAAATATAAGTTTTGATGAACCGTAACCCAATGTTGGAAGATTAAAGGTGAAGAAATAGGTTGAGAAAGCAATTCAGAATTAAGGTTCTGTTTGTTTCCGTAAAATAATTTGTAGGAAAATAATTTATTGAAAAATATTTTTATTTTTCTTGAAAAATATTTTTCAAAATGATTTATTTTTTGTTGCTTGGTTGTAATATTGAAAATTAATTAAAAATATTAAAGTCTTTATCTCATGAGACCATAAAAATATTAATAATAATAGAAATTTTATAATTTAAAACTTTTATTGTTAAATATGAAAAGATGTAAAAAAAAAAGATGAATTATGAAAGCCGCTGGTGGCCGGTGGTAAATGATGACCGATGATAATGACTATTATGATTAATAAATTAAAAAATATAGATTTATAAGATTTACCAATGCCTAAAGAATGTTTTACTTTCTCAAGAATGGAACGTTGTTTTTCTGAAAAAATGACTTAATTTTCCTTTGACTAGAAAAATATTTTCCGTTGCCTCCAAACAATGGAAAATTATAGAAAATATTTTTCAAGTTATTTTACCAAACAAATTGAGCCTTAAAAAAAGTAAAGAGTAAAAGCCGGTAAAACATTGACTAATCAACGATAGTGGCGTAGCTACAATAGTGTAAAGATACAAAATCTTCATATTCAGCAATATTGTTTGTACTACTTCCAAAAGATACAGAATAATGTTTAAGTTAACTTTTAGTGGTTTTGACATGTTTAAAATTCTATCTGTACTATGAAACTTTAAAATCTCTAATTTAGCATCTAACTTTTAATTATTTTTTAAAAAATCATACCTGTTATTTTCCTTCTGAATTCAGTTAATTAAATAATTAATATCTTTTTTATCTTTTAAGTTAAACAACTATTTTTATCAAAACACACCTCTAACTTAAACCACTATATAACAACTACCACCTGAAAGCTAATATCTAACACCTACTACAATAGCTAACGTATTCAAAAGGGTTTGTTTGGATTAAAAGTATATAATTTTTTTATTAATAAATTCAAACTAATATTAATGATATAAATTAAAACATGAAGCATATTGAATTGACAGGAAGCATATTGCCTAGCCCTAAGCAAGCTGAAAGAAGCAATGGAGGAACCTCAGCATGAAACGGTAGCTTTCATCAATAACATGCATGTGCAACTTAGGGAGCTAACCACAACCTTTCCTGATCAAACTTTTGATCCTTGCTCTACATCTTCAGACATCAAGTGAGTATACCAACTAATTAACTAGGCATCTCTTTCTTCTCTGTCTCTCCTAAATCTTATCCAAATTGCTGTTTTTCAATGTTTAAGCACTTTGTTTGTTTGTATACTTCCTAAATCTTGTTTCTATATTTATTTTTTAAAAAATATACCTAATTAAATCATATAAATATAAAGAAAAAAATTAATAAAAAAAATCCAATCAAATCATACAAATATAAAAAAATGAATATTAATAAAAAGAATATACTTTTTCTTTTTTTATTTCTCTTACAAGCAACAAATGAACCATTAATGAATTAGAATAGAGTGACGTACCTTTATGGTGTATATATTTAGTAAAAAGATAACCATTTAGATAAAAGAAAAAATCGCAAGAGAATGGCGATTTAGGTTAGGTAGAGAGGGAAGTTGGACGCAATAGGGCCTGCAAGAATGGCGCGAATTGGGTTTTCAACCTTACACTAGCATCTGCAAAGGATAGTGGAGTGAAAAAACCGGATTGGTTTTCTTGAAAATAACGTTGTACCATTTGCGCGTGCTGGTTGATCTCTATGTAAAATAAATTAGATGGGTGTCATTCCCAGTATTGCGGGCCCTGCCCAATACGCGCAATGAAAATTTATAGAAGAAGATATGTTTCAAGTGGGCTCTCTTTACCAAAGGCACGCGTTATATTATTGCGTCGGCGCCTTTGACGGGACCAAATTAGGAAGTAAAAGGCCAGTAGTAGACAAGGCCCGGCCCGGTCGTTCAACGAGACGCTTGACTAAGTCACCAGCGGGATAGTGCGTACTAAATTAGTGTAAGATTTAACAAATCTTTCATATGCTTCGCAGGCCATAATAGGGATTGTTGTTGTACTACTGGAGTCCAAAGAAGATAAGCCGATGACTCAATGTCAATTATCAACAGAAGTTCTGTGGAAGTAGAGAAGGAAAAACCGTGTTAGTGTTTTGGACATAGTTTTTGAATAACTTCTAGTCGTGGTATATGAAGCTCTCTAATGATATCTTTCTAATATTAGCTATTACTAGACTTTTTAATTGAGTTTTACAAAAAAATTCTATCTACCGTGGTTATTTTTCCTCTGGAATTCGAGGCGTTGAATTAAATAATATATCTTTTATCGTTTTAAGTTAAACAAAACTATTTTTATTTTCAAAACACACTGCTCTAACTTTAAACCAACGAGTGAGCTATGCAACGACTACTTTAGCCCCCAAGCCTGCTAAAACTGTGACCTCAGGTTATATCTAGACCTGAGGCGCCCGCCCTGAGGCTACAAATAGCTAACGTTTATTCAAATACACGTTTTGAGCTTGTGTGGCATATAAAAGGTCCAACCGTGCACTAATTTTGTGTACTCTCTTGTGCAATAAGGACCACAACTAAGAGAAATGATATAAAATTGCCAGCCACTATAGGGCCTCGGAAGCATTAGTACGGCTTTCTGGAAATGCCTTGAAGGGACCGCCGATGTGACAATGAGTCTTGCCTAGCCCCTTAACGAGGCCAGAGGCGCATGAAGGAAGACGAATGCCGACCGAACACTCAGCTCCCAGGTAGGTCCAGAGACGCGCCGCGTGAGGCTGCTTCCAATCCCGACACTCCTAAGGCCATGGGGGCAGTGGCAACTGTAGGCGACTAACCACAACCTTACCGTGGACTCAAGCCGACACTTGGCGGCATCGTCCTCCTCTCTCACATCTGCAGCGCATCCGAAGTGAAGGTCGTCGCCTTCGGCTGGGACAGACTTGGCTATATGATCCCATATCTTCTGTTACATTCGTAGAGCGTTATGTCTTCACTCTCTTTCTCTTCGGGTGTACTTCGTTCCTCACCGAAACACGTCTCCACTAAATAATCCAATAATGCTCCGCGCCAAGGTGGAAGGCACTACCTCAGTGATTACCTTGGGTTGATCCTTCGATTAAATCTTCCTAAACCTGGTTGACGTTCATAGTATCATATATATTGTCATAAACATTTCGGAAGTGAAACATCATTTTTATAGAACCTATAGGACTCACGCAGGATTCCAGGTCTGTCGTAAACTTGATTTATGAACGAGATACAAACGGGGGAGGAATATTAAATAAACAATGGCTTTATATGAGCCAATCAAACAATCCAAATTTTCGAAATGATACAAAATTGAGTATCAAAACAAAGTATCTTTTTTCATCAAATAACCCAGGAGGTAATGGTGAATTAATAAAAAGGAAAATACTTTTTTCTGTTTGTGGGTTTATATTTTCTTCTTCCTTTTGGCCCAACCACAAACTGGCATTAACAATTATTTTTTGTGCAACTGATTTTATAATTAAAAATTAAATTACCTAGCGATATATTTTTTAAAATAAAAAGAATGAAGTTAAAATTAGTATGAATAATCATTTTTGTTTAATCCAGCATCCCCGGATTGTGTCTATATCTAACAAATATAACTTCATTTTATTTAAAAAAAATTTTGGATGATATAAGATAACAAACTCTTTAAAATTTTTTGGTAAATGGACATTAATATATAATTATATTGTGTATTTATTTTATAACGACAAATAATAAGACTTTGTGTAGTAAATATATGCCATAAGTTAAATTTATATTAAATTAAAAATAGAGTATAATATTTTTCTAAAATTAGCAATTTATTATTTTAATATTAAATAAGGAATAAGATAATATATTATAGGCAAAAGTAGATCTAAAATATCTTTTAACGCGGCAAAGTTAAACAGAGCATACTATTTTGATGAGAGAGAGGATCGAAAAGTGTGTATAATGATTAATATTACTACGTGCTCTACTATTTCCGAAGGTCAATTTTGTTATGAATTTTATCAGTAATTTAGAATATAACTTTCTATTTATTAATTAACACTATATAAACTTTGACTAGTTTCAAACTGATATCTCTCACCTTGAAGGACTGGAATCTAATCTCAATGAAAGCGATTTAAATTATTTTTCTAGGTTCTATGGTATTACTATATAAAAGTTTCTCTATGGCTATTATTTTCCGCTCTCGAACGCACATCCTGTGCCAAATAATTTAAATTCTAAATGTAATTAACCCATCTTTAGAGTGTCGCCAAATGCACACATTGCAGCTTAATATCTCATATAATACCTTTTCCACAATAAGAAATGGAATGTTGCAATGATTATTAGCCGTCGTATTAAACTCTCTATACCAAGCACCACTGGAAAAAATCAGACTGCAGCCAATACAGGTTTATTTGATTTCTGGCTTGTAATTATTGAATTGTGGTAACACCAAAAAATAAGTTTTTCTATGTATTATGCTTATGTTGGTAGTTGTATATAATTTGAATTTGTATCTGTATAGAATTTTTTATAAAGCTCAGTATAAAAGGAATTAAATTATAAAGGGTGGTTGAATTCAAGTTAGTTTCAGGATGTGTAAAAAAATTATTTATTTCAGTTTACTTTTCTAAATTATTTTAATTAAGTAGAGTCGATTATTTTTAATCTCTATTGTGTACTGAGTATAAAGTCACCTGCGGATGATTACTTAATTATAGTTTGTTTATTGTAACATATCTTTTATACTTATATCAGTCTATTTAAGTAATATTAGGATCCTATAACGATATTATGGTTTGCTTAAACTTAATTATAAAAAATGTCCTTATAAGATATTTCAGAATAGACATAATAGAGGTGTAAAATACTGCTTAATTAAGTACTTAATAAATAAAAAAAAATACAACTTAGTTTGATTTTATAATTAATAGTTTTTAGTTAAAAAATATATAGAGTGTAAGAAATAATTATATTAGAATGAATTAAATACAAAATATTACTACTCCTATAAGCAGGACTAATTCCTATTCCATACTACGTTGGAGACATTTACTTAACCTGGCACAGTAGATATAGATGTATTGCGCTGCACGTATTAATCTTACCTATAATACTGACCACAATTAATAATATCGAATGATCAAGTACTTATATGAAATTTTCAATAAATGATGGTTATTAATTTATTAATATTTAGAATGAAACTTTTCAGCAATTCTAAAAAATCAATGAATTAGTGTTTTTATAATTATTCCTAGAAAATACTTAGTAGTAGTTTTAATTTGCAAATTTTTTTGTAAGAATTCTTATTCACGTGTACTCACACATTCAAAATTGTTACTTTATTTAGCGTGGTAAAGTATTTAAAAAATATAATGAGAATCAATATTATGTAGATACCATACAATAAATGGTATTTAAAAAATAAATTATAAAATTTTTAAATGTCCCCTTATTAATATATTTATTAAAAATAAATTTAAAAAGATAAAACTTAAAATTTGTAAATGCATAATTATTTATATGTATTTATTTAAAAATAACTTTTATAAATATATCTAATTAACTAATAAAATGTAATTTTCTAATTAGCTATATTAAGATTATTTTAGCATATTCTAAATTTCATTAAAGGCACTATGGAAAATTTTATTATTCCTCTCTATTTCCACATTTATATATAGTATAGATATACTGATTAATTAATTTAACTTTGACTATTTCAAACTTGATATCTCTCACCTTGAAGATGAATCTAATCTCAATGAAAGCGAATTTTTTGTATGTAATTTCTTATTTTTTGCTTTTTCCTTCGACAATCCAGAATAATTCTAATGTAATTGCTCTTTGTGTTCCTACTTGTGCTAATTTCTATTAGTATTCATATTAGCTGTTTTTACACCCAAAAATCACCAAGTTTGAGCTTTGAATTTGAGGAAAAAAAAGTTCATGGAGCTATGGGTTAATATTGGAATTTAGAGATTAATTCCTTAAAGTATAAGGTGTTGAATTCGTAAGTTTAAGGATGGTAAACGTATTTTATTTTTATTGGATCATTATTTTAATTCATTGTACTGATGTGATATTACTGTTTTACTGTATGATTTTTCTTGATTATAGATGAATATTAACTTATTTTATAGATGGATATAGAGTTGCTTCTAATAAAATATAAACATAAAGATTTTTAATAGTACTTATTAAAAAAATATTTAATAATGGTGTGAAAAATATAGAAAAATAAAACACCCAAGAAATCCTTTCCTCACGCATACACGCACAAGAGAGTATCCTCACTCTCTTGCCCAAAAGCTTGTCAATAGTGTTTATTAATAGAACTCCTCAAACTATGTGTTTATCCAAAATACTAGAGTTATCAATTTTAAATTCTAATTACTAAATTAATGTCTTTTGGAAGTATTTTAAAAAATAATGACATTAGCCAATTAAGTATAGTCTGATTGGTCTTCTTATCTTTCGTACAAAATGTAGATAGTGAAAAGGATTGAGTTTAAGTCTTCTCACCATAAAGGTTATTGTCAATTTGATAAATATTATTTTAAAGGGAGGGTTACCCTGCTACGTAGCCTATTTCCGTCTACTGGGCTTTTCATGTATATAAAAAAAAACATTTTGAGGAGCAGTTTAGTAACCTGAATTATATACAAACACAAAGATATGATATAAAAGTAAGGGGCAAAATAATATAAAATTTAATTAAATGAAAATTGTGTAAAAAAAGGATTAAAATGGTCTAAAAGTGATTAAATTCTCTTATCGGCAAAGATTTAAACCTCAGGAATTCGTCAAGCTTGTAGATTTGGCATGGCGAGTAATTCCGTTTGAATCGGAATCAAACCGTATTATAGACGAATCGGAACCGGCGGTTCAAGGGCCGATTAAAATTATATACATGTTAAATTTTGAACCTGAACCAGCAGTTTTGGTCTGGTTTAAACTGAAAATTTTTTATTTTTAAAAAATATAATCTCTTAGCCTATTTTATAAAATTTAGTATATAATTATATTATTTAATACCAATGGGAGTTTAATATTTTTTCCTTTTAAATATTTTACTTAGTTCAAAATTACATTGTTTGAAGCATTTTTAAAATTTTTGTAATAATTTAATTAATTAATAACGTTTAGACAAAAAATAATAATTTATTTGATTATTTTGTAAATTGATTAATTTTATTGCTTATATTAGTACGAGCATTCTAAAGTTATTAAAATAAATTTACCAATATTTGTTTTTAAATTCACATTAATTTTTTCAGAAAAATAACGCCTTAGAATCGAGTTTTTATTTTTTTAGAAAAAATTAATACATATATCACCGGAAACTGTGATTGAAACCGTTGGTTTATCGAAATCAAAATCGGCAGTTCAAGAGCCGATTCAGATTCAATATTTTAAAATGGCCTACTGCAGAGATTCAGTTGTCTATTAACAAATTCAGTTATACAAATTAATTTTTTTAAATTTTTATTAACCAAATACAAAACATATTTAGGGAAAAAAATAAAACTGAATCCAGCAGGAGGCCTAAGAGATTCAAGATAACTATTTTTTTTTTTTTTTAAATTTCATTAAAGTTCAAAAGTAATCAAATTGAGTTTTTGCAACTGAATCTGTCAATAAAATAGGAGGCAAAGGGAAAACCTGCTGGCTTGGGTGTAGACTCCTGGATTAGAGGAGTTTTTTCTCCAGATATTTTCTAATTCTACTAATAATAAATATATATTTGCTGATTAAAAAAAAAATTGGAGCGTTTAATTTACTTCTTTGCAAATTATTTCCTCAGAACCTCTTTAGTTTTCTGTTTTTTGAACCTGTTTACTTAATTGATAGATTTAATAATATTAAAATTTTCCTCTAAATTAGTATTTTTTTTCTTTTAAATAATTTTTTTAAGTATTTGAAGGAACGGGATTCGAATCTGAATCTATTGTGTTATGAACCTTAAATATAGTAAATAGTTTTTAAAAAGAAAATTGTTTTTGTTATGAACCTTAAATATAAATAATTGTGCATAAGGATTTTGAGTAGAATTTGCAAACTATATGATTATCCCGAATATTTATCACTTTTTTGATAAAACTTGCGAACTATGTTTAACATGAACACGTCCAACTCAAGTAAACGAAGAGTATCTTGTCAAGAAGAGAAAACTCATTATGTCTGTTGGACTAAACTTGCTTAAATCCAGTCTATGGATTCACTTTATTCTTTTCGTTTCAGTGAATTATCAGAAATATATTCATTTTTAAATTTCAAATCTAAGGTTTAATCCTCATGATCTCAAATTTAAGGATCAGTTCTTCTTATATTTGAAAATACAACCATTTCAAAAATTCGAAAACCATTTTGAATTTGTTAAAAGTGATGACTTACAAAATAATATGCAAATATTTTATAAAAAGTGATTTTTTTCTTTACTTGTATGTCTTATAAACAAGATTCAAACCTAATTAAATTTTTTTTTATTGAAATGAAAAAAAAAAAGTAAATTTATTATAGAATTAAAGATATTGCTCAAGTTGAACATTTTTCTTTATATATGTTCTGAATTAAGCCTTCAGATAACAGTTCATATTGGAAGACATTAATCACAACAAAAAATTCAAGTAGATGGAAGTAATAATTTTTGTATCTTTGAACTCTTTTTCTTTTGCAGGAAGAAATGAGTAACGCATGACGGACTATAACGAATGACATGATTTTCTATGATCTGTATGTTGAAACAATTGTCTTCTTCATATTAGGATGGGTTCTAAGATGCATCTCCTTAAGTGGTTTCTTGCATGATAGATGCCTGTGCTTCAAAGATAGACGCTAGTCCCTCCAATGCAATTCAGAATTGATCTAATTTAATGAAATTGTTTTGCTGGTGTAATTATCTTTCTATTAATTAATGACTTATAATAATTAATTTAAGTATTTTCCTTGCTTTTGGATGAAATTTTTAAATCCCCCACTTTCTCTTTATATCTTCGTTAAACACTAGGATGAAGTTTGAATTTGATTCATTAAACTTATGGAACAAACTATAACAAGCTTTTTTAGAGCAAAGCTTTGTTGATGTCGGACTTTAGCTCGATTTGTTAAAGATATCTATGAGCTTGAGCTCAGCTTATTTATTGAGCAACTCAATAAACTTGATTGATTAAACTTATTGAATGAGTTACGATGTGCTTTTTCTAAGCTGAATATTGAATAACTCACGAGTAACTTAACTAATGGTAGTAGTAGGGTGGTCTGCAACCCGTATTTAACTTCCAAACCTATCTTTAGATGGTGAGGAGATTGTATAACTTTATTACGGATTCTAGTTTGTCTCTTAGCATAGACTAGTTGTTTTAGTGACTTTTCAAACCTATGTAGGCAAGAAGGGGGAAGGACTGATCTGTATATCTAAGAATTCATGGTTAAAAATAAGGTTGTAATCGAGCTGTTATTAAGATAAATTATATTTTCAGAAAAGAAAATATTAATGCACCAGTTTCAAAAGATCCGTATGCTTATAGCCATCATGAATAGCAAGACACCTATGTTCCCACGCACGGTTTGTACTAATTAATTCGAAGGCAAAAATATAAAGTGTTCCCTAAGTTATGTTAAAAAATTAACATATAAGGACTACTATTTTTTAAAATCTAGCTATAATATCCTTAAATTATGATTCATTAATATTTTGGTCTTTCCATCCAAAACATAAGGACCAAATTATTTGAAAACATAAGGAAGGACCCAAATGTTAATGGAAATTATAAATTAGGGACCTCATAAGTTAATTTTAAGGAGCAAACAATTTGAAAACGTGCATGTTAAGGGAATCATAAGTTAGAGACCTTGTAATTAGAGTTTGAAAATAGAGGTACTTATTTGGTACTCCCTCCATTCCTTTTATATAGACAAACTTTCCGTTTTTTAGTGTTTTTTCTATATAGACAAGCTTTCATTTTTTGCTAACATTGAAAAAAATGTCAATGTGAAAATCTTATATTATTTTTGTCTTATTCTTTGTAAAGTTTTATTATGAGAGATTATTAAGGAAATGGTAGACAAAAGTATAGATGGGTATTAAATGTGAAAGAAATTCGGTGATAGAGCTGTTATTCTTTAAATTTACATTGGAAAAATAAATATGGTCCAATTAAAAAAATTGTGCTTTGATTGAGATGGAATTTGAATTTTAAAATTGCACAAAATTTAGAAATGGAGCATAGTTAAGAGTTGTGATTCTACACTGTGGACCATTTTTTGTGAAGTTACCCCATATTTAAATTCTTTGACAGTTACTCAAGTCTGTTGGAAGATTTGACAATTACTCAAGTCTGTTAGAAGATTATTTGAGCAAGAAATATTCTTTTTTTAAGCAACATATATAAAGAGGGATCAATAACAAGTTTTCCTCAAAGGCCAGAGCATAACTATTTTTTTTTTTTTACACTCGTTTGATTTTTGATCCAATTTATGATTTATGCGGACATTTTATAGGACATATTGTTGCATTTATCTAAATTTGTGATCAATCAGTTTATAAATTGGGTCAAATCTTTTTAGGAAGTCAATGATGCAGAATTGAGTTTTAAAAATTTGAATTTTTATTCCCTAATCAAAAGTTTATAATGGGTCAAAATTCTTTTAGGAAGTCAATGATTGCAGAATTGACGTTTTAAAATTAATTTTTATTCCCTAATCAAATCTCTTAGTATCCCATTTTTCTTTTTTTTTTTTAGGAAGACATGCAATTGAATTTTTTTTTTTTTTTTTTAGGAAGACATGCATTGATTGCATTATTCCACCAAGAAACATTATTAAAGATACTAGGGGTATATTATTAAACATTATTAAACATTTTAGAAGAGTTAATGTGATACTAGGGGTATATTAGAAAAAATTAAGGAAAAATAGTTAGTTAAACTGATTTTTTAATCTTGGTTAAAATATAGTTGTGCCTATATAAAAAGAATAGAGGGAGTAATTTAAATATAAATTCAAGAACTAATTTATTTTTTCCTAATTCGAATGGCATCAAATCAAACTTCATACTTGTATTAATTCTTTTTTCTGACTATAAATGGAAAATAAAATAAAATATTATTTTTATTAATATTTTATTAAAATATTTATTAGAACACTAATTATTATGTTGCACACTCTCATTTATGTTCTGACATTATAGTCAAGTTACAGTAATGTGGTGAAATGGCTAATGATGAGAGTGAAGGTAGGAGTTTAAGGCTTTCTAATTGAATTTTGATTTTTATTTGTTTGATAATGTTTGGAAAAAAAATTTGTGATTTTGTCCATAAAAGATAGTTAAGGTTAAGAACAAAAAGGAGGAAGAGGAGCAGTGGTGGAGGCAGAAAATTCAGTCAGGGTGGGTAAAAGTTAAAATTAACACTAAACAAAATAATAAAAATTATCTTCGTTGATAAAAATTTAATTGTTTATAATTACAATGCAATTCCATGATTTTTCACATTTTGAAAACGTCAAATAATAAGCTCTTTATCGATAGTTCTAAACATGTCTTATTCAACATAAACAACCATAATATCATTCAACCATTGATCTCCTATTCTATTGCGTAGCCTATTTTTTATAATATTCATAGCATAAAAGATTCTCTCCACTGAAGCTGTTGTAATAGGCAAAACTAATGACAAAATAATAAGCTTGTAGACTAAATGATACACCATATGTTTACTTGTTGCAACTAACATTTGAGCAAGTTTAGAAATTCCTTCCAATTGTAAAAATTCAGTGTTGGCTTAAGGTCAATTTTATCCTAAGATTTTGATGATTATGCAAAATGAATAAATTTAATATTCTTGTTGTGCTAAAGTTATTATATGCAAAAATTATTATTCAGAAGATTTGAAGATCATACAATCTAAGATTTTTTATTTAAAGATCATGAAGATCAATAAAGATATTTTGTTTGGTTAGTATTTTAATAAGTCTTAGAAAATTAATGTAGGATAGAGAGAACATTGCTTTACAAGCACAAAATATCTTTTATCTCTCTTAAAATCATTTTTAGAATACTCTCAAAAATTGCCTTAAAAGGAAAAACCCAAATCTTTTCTCTTTTATCTACGCCTACCTAAATGGAAAAGATTTTGCAAAAAAAATATTTTTTTAGTAACTATTAAATGAGTCTCTAATGAAAATTACTCATGCACTATCTATTTATTTATTTTATTTTGGAATGTCGGAGATACTCATCAAAGCAAAATTTCAACGTCTTTTATAACGGGATTTTCATTCCTCTTATAAAAACGTTTTCCTCTTTTGAAAAGGTGTTGGTAAGAGTAAGAGTCCATTGTTCAAAGTTTTAGATCTCTTAAAACTATCTCTTCAATCCCTTCATTTCTTTTCGTCTATATGTGGGTCCCGTATATGTATGGCACAACCTAAGGGTCGTGAATTGGATTTTCTAAAAATCTTTTAGAATTTAAAACAAAATATAGAATTCTAAGTGCAGCGAAAAAATATAGAACTTGTGAGAATAGATTATGGATTAGAATCACTGCAGCGGAAAAATATAGAACTTGTGAGAATAGATTATGGATTAGAATCACCTCACAATGTTCTATTCACAAAAGAAAGAAAGTCTGTGCAAAGTGCAGCTATTGATTAGAATTGCTTCACAATGACTTATTCAATATTAGAACTTCTTTATGAAGGAAAGCTATTGGAATTAGAACTTCCTCATAAAGTTTAGAAAATCATGTAAAACTGTGTGAGAGACAGTTATTGAACTTAGAACTGCTTCACAAAGCCTTAATCAAGTATCAGAACTACTTTATGATGGAAAGTTATTGAAATTAGAACTTCCTCATAAAATGAAAGAACAGTTTAGAACTTGGTATATTCACTTTGCAGAAGTCCAGAGTTCTAATGTTCAGAAAAGATACAGCTTATGTCAGTTTAGAACATCGAAACCTTTAACAATTTTAGCATTTCTAAAATATAAATATTACAGTTTTACAACATCCAAATTCATTTTCAACTTTAGCATTTCTAAAATGAAACAGAAGTGAATAAAAGCACTATTCAAGCAAACTTTCAGAAATCTAAAAGATAAACACAATGATTGATAGTGGTTCGGCAACTAACTCGCCTACTATCCACTGCCAAGACTCATCTGAGATCCTCAACTATGTTATCTCTTTTTCAGGGTAAGAGAAAACCAACAGTACAAGGGGGCAATAGTATCAACACTAAATCTACCCTTTTAATTCCCACTAGATTCCAAGTTGTAGTTAACCTCAACCCTTTTTGGTTTTGGCAGAGCTACAGAAACTCAATTCAAAGACATTAGAATTCCACACAAGGGAGAAGGTCGCTTGATAAACCTCTATTACATAACTTCTACCTAAGCTAATTACACAAGATGTTTATCAAATAAAGCCTGTCTACTATAGATTACCAAAATTCTAAATGACAGAAAGAAATGCACATATAAGTACAGGGAAAAACAGTTTATCAGATTAGAAAATTCGTTTTAGAACACAAAAACTGTTTTTCAAAAGTAGTTGTAAAAGTTCTTTTTTCTTCTTTAAATATAAAAACGTTGAAGGTTAAAGATGAAAAAAGAAAAAATGGGTAGAGAGTAAGTTTGAGAGATAAAGATTTGATCAATGAAGAGAATGCTCATTAAAAACGAAAACTCTTACTTCAACCAAGTTTCAAGAGTGAAACCACTCCTATATATTAGAGAAGCTTCGGAGACTCGTTTCTCTGTGGAAAGTTAATATTTCATTTTTGAAATCAGAATATATGTTTTCCTTTATATTAGAAGATAACGAAAATCTTTGTTACCAAAATTTATTTATCCTTTTTGTGTAAGAGAATAAAAAGACGATTTACTTTCCTTAAACACAAGATTTTCCGGCAAGCATTA